GGTAACAGCGAGTTGGACCAATCAGCAGACGTTGCTACTACGTTTAGGATTGTGGGTAGTGTAGTTTTTTTTTCATAAGATCGTGGATATGAAAGAGTTTCACCGCACTCACGGCAAACAAGGTGCCAGACAGATAACACTTGACAACCAAAAGAACAAATTGTCTGCACACTTGAGTCCTTCAAGCCAAATTTAATGCCAAGCTTTCGGTGATACAACCATCCTCAGGGCATACACAAACAAAATGTTACCTTCCATTTGACTATGTTCAACTAGGACAAACTACAACTCCCACCAGTGGACTACAACTGTCCCTACCTAGCCTCTGCAGGTGTGGGTTATCACTGTTGATTGTCCTAGTTGAACATAGTCAAATGGAAGGTAACATTTTGTTTGTGTATGCCCTGAGGATGGTTGTATCACCGAAAGCTTGGCATTAAATAAGATCGTGGATAAAACATGTTTTTCTTTAAACCAGGTCGATTTCATACAAACTTATAGCTTCAACAGGAGCAAAAACATTCGTTTCACAACCTCATATAGCTCATGGTCACCTCGGGTTAGACATTAGGGCTGATAATAAATTCAAACACTCAATTCCCAGTTCTGGGTTCAGTTAGCAGGACAAAATCTTTCCAACAAAAACAAATCAATTCATTCAAAAATTAAATCAATTCAAATTCCGTTCATTTCTTTTTAACTCATTTAGGGTGCAAACCCCCAGTTTCACAAGTTCACATTAGACCTTCTCGACTGAGTTCTCAAGACCAACGCTGAGCAACCAGTCCACTGTGAAGTTCAAAAAGAGTTTCCTCAGCACTTTAAACAACATGTACACAGTCTCATGGTCAGAAGTCTCATCTGGCAAACCCAACATAAGAACATGTAAAAAAAAAAAAAACAGTAGGCCTACTTGTTTGGTTTTGTCCAGTCAGTCAGTTAGCGAAATGATCGGTCCTCCATTGTTGTTTGAACCATTGGTAGTTTCTCTGAACATCCAGGAACATCCAAAAGAGCCATAAATCCCAATGCAAATCAATGAAATGTTCCTTTTTACCTCACAGGGTTTTTTGCAGGGATTTACTTCCCACATCTTTCCACTGCACAAGGCCTCCTCAAACTGCCATCTTCCAACTCTTTTAAGCCATGTGCTCCACACATCATGTGACTCAGTGAATCATGTGACTCAGAAAATCATGTGACTCTGACCCATCAAAATTTCACTAATATGAATCCAGTTTTCAGTGTGTTGACGTTCATTTTCTCTGAAACAGGAAGACAGGGGGGGCGGGGCATATCGATCAGCTCCTCCCCCTTTTCATAATAGCCAATAGCGTTTTGTTTATATCACAGCTTGGCTAATCTCCCGTTTCTCCTCCTAATCTCCTCTATATCACTTCAAAATATAGTATTATTTGCAGAAATCAAAAGGTGCGATATGTTTTCTGTTCTGAGCGACTCGATCTCATGATCCGCTCTGTGTGTCGAGTCTCGCTGTGGCGGTTCGAGCGACACTAACGTGAATCCAGACTTCATCCGCCCCAATGGAAAGCATATTTACGTTCCCTGTCCCCTTTATAGTGCACTATGTGCCATTCACCATGTAGAAAACACTAAAAGTGTGAATAAGTGACCGATTCAGCCACAGATGCAACGCCTGTTTATAGTGTAGGGGGCGGAGCTTCGGATTCTAGAGAGCATTTGATTGGACAGAAAATCCGATGAGAAGCTGAAGTGCAGAGTGATGTCATCAATATCATTGATCCTAATTGGCGGAAGTGAGAGACTGTGTTTTTGAATGCTTATATCTTATTTTTTTGTCATTGTTTTGGAGCACACTAACAGTAAGTCTAACATATTCATGCTAAAAGCCAAAAAACGTACATTTTGATTCATGAGGATTTTCAAGTGGCTGGCGGTTCCCACCATAGATATCCATAAGAAAGGCTAGATGTCTTATCGCTAAGTCTCTCTCGTCATCACCGCCGGCCATCTTGTCACAGGCAAGATGAGCGGTCAGCACGAACACAAATACTCTTATCTCGTTGAAATCTCGACGGATTTACAAACGGTTTGGTTTCTTAAAAACGGTATTAACGTGGCTATAATTCTGGATGATTATTTATTTACACATTTTTTATTAGGAAGTATGCAGTGTCATAACTTCATCTCTGGCGTTTATAACAAACCAAACCGTTTGAAAATCGGTAGAAAATTGAGCAAGTCATGGTTATTTAAAAAGTACATGCACCATTGAAACACAATGTTACGAGTGAGGGAGCTGCCTGTGGCAAGATGGCCGCCAGGTGCAGACGTAGATCTCCATTGGCCAGCAGCGCGGACGAGACATCTAGCCTCTATTATGGATATCCATGGTTCCCACTACTAGTTTTGCCTAGTGACATTTGAGAATGACTCACAGATGTTATTTCAAAAAATTTTTGTGAACATTTTGGACAAAAAAATATATAAATGGCATACAAATCTCCAATGCCATTGCTCATCTACACTATATGCGTTTATATCTGTTTACTCAAATTTGAGACTATGGCCTCCACAGACACAACATGATCAGATGCAACATAAGCCCTCTATATTACCCATGATGCCCTGCTCGCCAGCGTCCGTTCCTGACCATGTCGGACTGAAGTCTCGCTTTAAGGCCTGATTTGCCTGTAATATCTCATTACACCAGACCTTGATCACGTCCTCTCTTCTTCTGCGTGCCCCCAGCCCCCAATCCTTTTTGCTCACATTGATGGCACATTTTTAATTAGAAAATGCATTCAGACTGACAACAAAGTGATTTGCATATTAAATTAACAGCTACTTACGTTGCATGGTGCCTGGCAGAGATGTCGCTTAAAAAGACGCTGAGAGAAAATTGTGTACCCAGACTGACATGAAACAACTTTTTATGTACCTTTTATGTGCATACATCCTTAATTATGAATTTAAATCCATAAACTGATGTGACATGAACTCAGTATAGAGCTTAGGTGGTATGTCTTTTAGGGTTTTAGGGTAGAATAATTACATTTTAATGGTTTTATTTTAATGAAAACTGCAATGAAAATTTCAGTAGCACTAAGGTTTTATGGTTACACACTTTACAATAAGGTTCATTAGTTAACATTAGTTAATGTTGCATGAGCTAATGCACTGCACTTATACAGCATTTATTAATCTTTGTTAATGTTCATTTCAACATTTAGCCTACTAATACAACATTAGTAAAAAATGAGTTAATGCACTGTGAACTAACAAAATGAACAGCTTTATTTTATTTTTTTATATAAAAAAAATATATATATAAAAAATATATATATATATTAAATATAAAAAAGAACAGTTTTATTTTTATTAACTAACATTAACAAACAAATACAGTAACAAATGTTTGTTCATGATTAATTCAAGTCAGTTAATACATTAACTACTGTTAACAAATTAACCTCGATCATTAGTTAACATTAGTTAATAACTGACATGAACTAACCATGTGCAAAACATTTGTTACTGTATTTGTTAGTCTTTGTAAACGTTAGTTAATAAAAATAAAGCTGTTCATTGTTTGTTCATGTTAGTTAATGCTAACAAGATTTCAATAAAGTATTAGTAAATGTTGAAATTAACATTAGATTAATAAATGCTGTAGAAGCTGTTCGTTTTCATGCTAACTAATGAACCTTATTGTAAAGTGTTACCAAAAATATCTTTCTCTTCACTTAGCATGGCAAATTTACCCAACACCGTATCAATCCCAGTATTTTTGGCCCATATTTCTCTCCCACTTCCCTGTTGATTCCAGAAAGGACGTTTTGCAGTGATAGTGTCAGTGTTGTGTCGGTTCGAGGGCCCGGGAGAATCGCTGTTCTCGTCTCGTTCCCCTCGGGGAACCAGATGCTGCTATGAGCCCCAGAGACGGCCATGTAACAGAGGACCCTGACTAAATAAAAAACATTAACAGCGACTACGGCGAACAAAGATTGGCTGCTTCAAAGCACTCCCGAGCCCGGGTCACGATTAGGATGTTGTTGATTCAGATTCGTCTCTAGACTGTCAGGAGAGTTTGACACAGAGCGTCATCCTGTGAGGGAAGTAAACAAGACAAGTAATTAATAAAGACCGAACGTTAATGTACATGTATCAGTCCTGCAGTTTGTTCCAATTTCAATTACATTATTTTTCAGTCCTGTCAGAGGGAGAAAATATCTGTCTGTCAATCATAAAAACACTCTAGTTCACTTTAAATAAAAACTTTTGCTGATAATTTACTCACCCCCATGTCATCCAGGATGTCCATGTCTTTCTTTCTTCAGTGGAAAAGAAATTAAAGGATATGTATGCAAGAAATTTATTTCAATTAATTATAAATTTTCCCTGATATGTCATCTGGACATTAAGAAATCAATGTTACACCCTAAATTGGAAGGAGAGCAAGACGAGTGTTTGTGCTTCTAAAACTTAAACTTTTATTTATTTTTTTAAATGACCGATCGTTTCGCTTGATAAGACCCTTATTCATCGTCTGGTGTCGTTTAAAGCCCTTTGAAGCTGCACTGAAACTCTCATTTGGACCTTGAACCGTTTGGTTCCCATTGAAGTCCATTATATGGAGAAAATCCTGGAATGTTTTCATCAAAAACCTTAATTTCTTAATTTTTTAAAAAGTGAACTACTCCTTTAAACTCACTGGTTAACCAATAATCCTGACCAAAAAAATGTGACAGTTTTGGACCCCATTGACTTTCATAGTATGGAGCAGAAAAAAGATCCTTTGGAAGTTAATGGGGTCCATCAACTGTTTTGTTCCCAAATTTCTTCAAAACATTTTCTTTTGTGTTCAGCTGAAGAGAAGAAAGAACAACTTGAGGGTGAGTAATTAATGGCAGAATTGTATTTTTTGGATGAACTGTCCCTTTAACAGGGTGGATGTTTTAAAGTCCCCCTGTAGTCAATTATTTTATTCCTTAAAACTCACCTTTGATCACCAAATTTAAATGTTTTTGTCACGCACTGCTCTGAGACACGAAGGTTGAGGATCCAAATGCAGTTTTATTGAACAGAGGGTAATCCAGAAACAGGCCAGAGATCATAAACACAGGGTAATCAGTCCAAACAATTACAGGGTCACAGGGCGCAGGTATGTTTGGCGACATTGTCAATTGTTATTAAGCAATAAGGCATAATATATATTTTTTAATTACAAGCATGTCATGTCATAATTCATTCTTAAACAGAATTATGCTTGTATCATATTTGTTATCAATGTTCTTTTATTGAAAAATGTCTTAGATGGTGAAAAAAAACATTATTTCAGATAGCTGTATGCTATGCTACTATCTAAGCTAAATAAAAAAAATCACTAAGAACAAGAAATGTCAACCTCGTTGGACTCAGGCATTGCAGCGGCCATCTTGGTTGAAGGCTCACGTGGCAGCAGCCATCTTGGTTGAAACACAGGCGTGGAGGCGGCCATCTTGTCCAAAGACACCGGCGTGGAGATGGCCATCTTGTCCAAAGACACAGGCGTGGAGGCGGCCATCTTGTCCAAAGACACAGGCGTGGAGGCGGCCATCTTGTCCAAAGACACAGGCGTGGAGGCGGCCATCTTGTCCAAAGACACCGGCGTGGAGATGGCCATCTTGTCCAAAGACACAGGTGTGGAGGCGGCCATCTTGTCCAAAGACACAGGTGTGGAGGCGGCCATCTTGTCCAAAGACACAGGCGTGGAGACGGCCATCTTGTCCAAAGACACCGGCGTGGAGGCGGCCATCTTGTCCAAAGACACAGGCGTGGAGGCGGCCATCTTGTCCAAAGACACAGGCGTGGAGGCGGCCATCTTGTCCAAAGACACAGGCGTGGAGGCGGCCATCTTGTCCAAAGACACAGGCGTGGAGGCGGCCATCTTGTCCAAAGACACAGGTGTGGAGGCGGCCATCTTGTCCAAAGACACAGGCGTGGAGGCGGCCATCTTGTCCAAAGACACAGGCGTGGAGGCGGCCATCTTGTCCAAAGACACCGGCGTGGAGGTGGCCATCTTGTCCAAACCCAGATAGCAAACTGACATTGAATCAACGTGGAAAAATGACATCGAAACAACGTTAATCTGACATTGTTTTGCTCATCGAATTAACGTTGAACCAACGTCAGACGCGTCATTCTTTCAAAACTAACGGAAAATCAACTTGAAATCAACGTTGTTTCAACGTTATGAAAGCAAACCAATTTTCGATTTTCATTTAGCTTTGAAGAATGCCGCATCTGACGTTGGTTCAACGTTAATTCGATGAGCAAAATCAACGTTGTTTCGATGTCATGAGAGACGTCGTTTCCACGTTGATTCAATGTCAGTTTGCTGTCTGGGAAGACACAGGCGTGGAAGCGGCCATCTTGTCCAAAGACACAGGCGTGGAGGCGGCCATCTTGTCCAAAGACACAGGCGTGGAGATCAAAACCAAGAAGACAGGAGTAATAGACAGAACGCTCAGAATTGCAGTCAAACACTAAACACGACTTCACAAGGAATGAATGTGAAGGCTGTTATAGGGCGAGTTAAACAAGGTAATGAGACACAGATGAATGTGGTAATGGATGATAGTCTGAGCTAAGGATTATGGGGAATGGAGTCTGTGGACGTGTGGTATTATCCGTGGTGGAGTGTCCTGTTCTCTGATGGTAATCCCGGGCACTCTCACTGGTGATCGCTACACTTTTATTATCGAAAAAAATGTCTTCATGCCCTTAAATATCTTGAACGTAACTCGACACCCTTGCCTCATTTAGTATAAGCGTTCTATAAATATATGCAAATGAGCCCCGCCTCCACTCACTCCCTCAGCTCAGAGATCCACTGGTTGACGATGACACGTTGATCTGATTGGTTATAGAGACCTTGTTTTTGAGACCGTCTTTGATTCACTGCAGTTTTAAGGAGGAAATACTCAGCAATGCTGTCCACTTATCAACTTACACATGGTGTGTGTTAAAGCATATTAAAAACACCACATAGACACATAAACAACATTAAAATATGTATTTTCACCACAGGGGGACTTTAAGATAACGAAGAAAGAACAACATTCTAGCAGAAGATTTACATTTAGGATGAAATTATATATAGATATCTATAGATTTAATAGATTAAAAAAAATTTCATTTTCATGGAAATATCATCTTTTACTCTGTTAGAAAAGTGTGCTGGAAAAAGGAACATATTATGACATGATTCTTACTTTGTTTTTCCCTCCAAGGAAATGATGTCACTTCTAATAAGTCATATGATTTAGGCGGATATATGCTTTTTAAATTTCAAGTAGCACAAAAGTAACAGAGTGGCCTGGAGTTTGAGGAACACCAACTAATTTAATGGTTTTACACATTTAATTTATTTATTTATGTCAAACAGAATAAGTAAATCCTAATACTCGAAATTGCTTATTTAGAAATATTAGTATGTAGCCTTTTCTCCAGAGTAATGTTGAGAAAACTTAATTGGGGACATGGGAATTTAACTGTCAAGTGCTTTTTAAAATTAATTATTCTCATAATAAATGTGTGTTAATTGTGGTACATCTATGCATAAAAAAACATGTGGCATGAAAGTTGATTAACATGTAAAATATGCGGTATTGGGGACAAAATAATCATATAGTAGGCTATATTAAAGCAGTAAGTCATGCTTTACAGTGATTTTACTCTTTAACTGTGGTAAAAATGTCTGTATTGAATCGCCACTGAGTTGCTTTTATAAAAAAATATTAGTAAAATATAAATATGATCAATAAATATCATAATGCTAGATTTCTATAACTAAATTAAATGATTTTAAATTATTAAATCGTTATTATTTGCTTCAAACACGGCTCATCCAATCAGATTCCAGTTCTTTGTCTTGATTCATGATGGGTCAGACATTATTAGTGAGGTCATCATCAACAGAGGCATGTGACCGCGTATACTATAATTGTAAAGGACTCCAGTTTCTGTCCTCTTGCATGCACTTTATCTCTCTCTTCTCCCTCTCTTTATCCATCTATCTATATCCCCCAGCCCAGGTGGGTTTGTCTGTTCATTAACACCCTGTGAAGAGGAACAGATGCAGAGAGAAACACCTTCACACAAACACACGCAGACTGACATCAGTAACTGAACACACAATTACGGTTTCAGATTCAGATCACAATTAGAAGACTTTATTTTAGTCTTTCTCACACTCTTTGTCTGAGTTCTGTGATTATTAAAGGTGAAGTTCATGCAAAAATGTCATGCTGTAAGATATACTTTCATCCATGAAACACAAAAGGAGATATTACGCAAGATGTTCACGCTGCTCTTTTCCAAACAACCAAAGCGAATGGAGACTAAAAGCACCATAATATATAAATAATATGGTAATCTGAATTTCTCACTATAATGCAAGTCTTCTGAAGACACATGAATAGGGTTGGGTATCGTTTGAATTTGAACGATTCTGATTCCGATTCCTCGTTTCGATTCCGGTTCCTAACGATTCTCGATTTCGATTCTTTTAAGAGGCAGGGTCAAAAAAGTTTAGCTAACCTTGCTAACCAACGGTTTTCCTGAAGGAAATACTCCTTCTGTCACAAATACTTGTCACAAATTTTGCATTTTGCCGAGATTTCGTTAATCTTTAGAAAAGTGAAGCCACACTTTGGACCGCCGACGTAAGCTACTCATGTTCGACTCGCGCGGTTATGCCAACACTTCCGGTAGACGCTTCTTCGTTGGTGTTGTTCAGCTGTTTCTTCTCCCGCTCGGCGGACTGTGAATATCGAAACTAGGAATCGAAATTTTAACTTTTGAACGATTCCGGGAAAAAACGAAAAGTTAGTCCCGGTTCCAATCGATACTCGATTCTCGATACCCAACCCTACACGTGAATTGCAATTTAATTTCAAAAGTCATTATCTGTCAAATCTCATTGAAACACAATATGTGAAGATGCATGACAAATCTTTTGCGATATTTTCTAAATGTTTAAACGATTGCGAAATGACGGCGTTTACATTAACCGATGTTATGCGACTAAAATGTAATTTCTCCTCTACTAGCGATAAGTCATTCATCAAGATGTAGGTGTCTTTGTTTCCACAGTATTTTCAATTTTGTTATTTTTAGGGCGAACCGTTCTTGTCTGTCAGTCATATAATGGAAGTCTATGGTCACCACCTCAAAGAGCATGCACAGAGAAGTCCAAATTAAACATGATTCAATGATTTGTAAATGTAAGCACACATTGATGGCCTAAGACACGAAACGAGCGGTTTGTGAGAAAACGAACAGTATTTATATCGTTTTACCTCTTTTAACCACAGCCAAGTCCAAGTGATCTGAGGGCGCGGGCGGTTCTATCTGCGCAAGCCCCGGGCGTGATCTTATGTATGTCACTCATTGTTTACACAGAGATTTTAGTGTTACCTTTCAATTTGAAGATCGAAACATATTTAGATATACAGGAAATCGCAATGGAAGACGATTTAGATACATCAACAGACAACGTTGAACCTTTTTTTCTGAACCGTGTGAGAGATCACTTGCGCGTGGCTAGTCTACAAGAGGTAAAACGATATAAATACTGTTCGTTTCGTGTCTTAGGCCATCAGTGTGTACTTACATTTACGAGTCATTGAATCGTGTTTAATTTGGACTTCTCTGTGCATGCTCTTTGAGGTGGTGACCATAGACCTCCATTATATGACTGACAGACAAGAACGGTTTGACCTAAAAATATCAAAATTGAAACTACTGCGGAAACAAAGACACCTACATCTTGGATGCCCTTGAGGTAAGATAAAACATACCAAAAATGTATTTCAAAGTGAACTATACCTTTAATAGCAAGGAAAGACTCTTATTCTGTGAGCGGCACATATTCACATGTTTCTCACTCCTTCGGCTTCAAGCTCTTTTGAGAAATTGTGGCATTTCTTTGTTATTTAGAATCCAGTATTCCCGTCATACTTTTGTCTTTTATGAGTTTAATGAAGAACTGTCTCGTCTTCTGCCCAAACATGCGCACTATCTTTAAAGAATGATCGACTTTTACATGTCAGGTGACTGTAAATGCGCAAACACTGTTTCCATTGCAGTTTGGTGAAGTTTTTCCTTTTTCAAATTGCCTGTAAAACCATCTCATGTGAGCGTAAAAACGTTTGTGTTTGATAAATGGGAGTTTTCCATTGGGCGTATTTTCAATTCGCGCAAATTGAAGGGTAATGGCTGATGGAGAACGCAATTAGTGAGTATGCAGAAATTAGATTTTTAGTGAAAAACGATTTTTTGTCTCTTCTTCATCATGCAGGTACATTTATTAGAAATTTTTTGCATTTTTTTTTTACTTGCAATTTTGATTTTTTTTGGTGAGTCTTGCTTTTTATATGGAAAAAAAGAGTGTCAGCATTCTCCAAAATATCTCCTTTTGTTTCACAGAAGAAATAAATAAAGATAGAAAGAAAGAAAGAGGTTTTGAATGACACGAGGGTGAGTAAATGATGACATTTCTAGGTGAACTAACCCTTTACAAGCTTCAGTAGTTTTGTAGTGCCCACTTTCACACACACGTTTTGTCAGGTGTTTTGCTGTCGACGTTTCTCGTAGTTAAATGTCAGTTGGTTTGGCATTTAAGAGAGCGATATCTTTCACAAAAAGTTGAAAAGAGGAGCGAGCCCTTCCTGGGGCCTCCGAACTCTCTGTCACACACACACACACACTCTTGCTGAGGCGTTCACAGGTGCGTGTGACACAGACGGGGTGTATCTGAAACAGTCAGGAGTAAAAGGCAGAGAGCGAAGGGTCCCGAGAACCGAGAGCCTGCGAGAAAGAGGACCGACTCAGATTAGATAAACCTGAGATACTGCAGAATACTGTTCTCCATAACCTGGAAATGGCAGGGCTGGAGTGAGGTGTGTGTGTGTAAGAGAGAGAGAGAGAGAGAGTGAGAGTGTGTGTGTGTGCATGAGTGAGAGAGTGTTTAGTATGAGTGTGTGTGTGTAATATATGTAAATGCCAGTACAGCTCCTCTGAGGGAGGCCCACCTCTCTGAACCACAGCTCATCTCTCTCGTTATCATCGTTCACACACCTGCTCACACAGACAATAGGGGCAGAAAGTGTGTGTGTGTGTTTATACAGGAAACAAGAACAGATCTAGCAAGGTCAGGAGAATCTCCATCATAAACGCATTGACCTCGCCTGCTCTTTCATCTTTTCTAAACAGTCAAACCGGGGTTTGTTTGTTGCTTCAGTGAGTGTGTGTACATCTGTGAGTATCTTGATAAACAGTCACTTCAGTATCTCTGTGCTTGATCTTTTTGGTTTTCAACTTTCAGTAGTGCATCTTCCCTCAGCGATTATGTTTGTGAATGTGTTTGTGTGGCCTGTGTCAGAAAGTGTTGTTGTAGACCTGGCTGAAACACACAGTGTATATACAGTATGTGAATGTTACGGGACATGGGAGATGGGAGGAAACATTATATTTCAATACTTTTGCGCATTTTTCATGGAACTTTTCTTTTACTCGCAAAATGTTTGCAATCTTTCAAGAAACTTTGTGTTCGAGTTTTGTTGGGGAATGTGAAATCTTTGACTTCTGTAGGAGTAAAGACAAAGTTTTTCTGGGTAAAGCAAAGGTTTTGAGAGTGAACAGGAAGGTTTTGAGAGTGAACACGAAGTATTTGAGAGTAAACAGGAAGGTTTTGAGAGTGAACAGGAAGGTTTTGAGAGTGAACAGGAAGGTTTTGAGAGTGAACAGGAAGGTTTTGAGAGTGAAGAGGAAGGTTTTGAGAGTGAACAGGAAGGTTTTGAGAGTGAACAGGAAGGTTTTGAGAGTGAACAGGAAGGTTTTGAGAGTGAACACGAAGGTTTTGAGAGTGAACAGGAAGGTTTTGAGAGTGAACAGGAAGGTTTTGAGAGTGAACAGGAAGGTTTTGAGAGTGAACGCGAAGGTTTTGAGAGTGAACAGGAAGGTTTTGAGAGTGAACAGGAAGGTTTTGAGAGTGAACAGGAAGGTTTTGAGAGTGAACGCGAAGGTTTTGAGAGTGAACACGAAGGTTTTGAGAGTGAAGAGGAAGGTTTTGAGAGTGAACAGGAAGGTTTTGTGAGCAAACAGGAAGTATTTGAGAGTGAACAGGAAGGTTTTGAGAGTGAACAGGAAGGTTTAGAGAGCGAACACGAAGTATTTGAGAGTGAACAGGAAGGTTTTGAGAATGAACAGGAAGGTTTAGAGAGCGAACACGAAGTATTTGAGAGTGAACAGGAAGGTTTTGCGAGTGAACAGGAAGGTTTTGAGAGTGAACAGGAAGGTTTAGAGAGCGAACAGGAAGGTTTTGAGAGAACAGGAAGTATTTGAGAGTAAACAGGAAGGTTTAGAGAGCGAACACGAAGGTTTTGAGAGTGAACAGGAAGGTTTTGCGAGTGAAAGCGAAGGTTTTGAGAGTGAACACGAAGGTTTTGAGAGTGAACAGGAAGTATTTGAGAGTGAACAGGAAGGTTTTGAGAGCGAACACGAAGTATTTGAGAGTGAACAGAAAGTATTTGAGAGTGAACAGGAAGGTTTTGCGAGTGAACGCGAAGGTTTTGAGAGTGAACACGAAGGTTTTGAGAGTGAACAGGAAGTATTTGAGAGTGAACAGGAAGGTTTTGAGAGTGAACAGGAAGGTTTTGAGAGTGAAGAGGAAGGTTTTGAGAGTGAACAGGAAGGTTTAGAGAGCGAACACGAAGTATTTGAGAGTGAACAGGAAGGTTTTGCGAGTGAACAGGAAGTATTTGAGAGTGAACAGGAAGGTTTTGAGAGTGAACAGGAAGGTTTTGAGAGTGAAGAGGAAGGTTTTGAGAGTGAACAGGAAGGTTTAGAGAGCGAACACGAAGTATTTGAGAGTGAACAGGAAGGTTTTGAGAGTGAACAGGAAGTATTTGAGAGTGAACAGGAAGGTTTTGAGAGTGAACAGGAAGGTTTAGAGAGCGAACACGAAGTATTTGAGAGTGAACAGGAAGGTTTTGCGAGTGAACAGGAAGTATTTGAGAGTGAACAGGAAGGTTTTGAGAGTGAACAGGAAGGTTTTGAGAGAACAGGAAGGTTTTGAGAGTGAACAGGGAGGTTTTGAGAGTGAACAGGAAGGTTTAGAGAGCGAACAGGAAGGTTTAGAGAGCGAACACGAAGTATTTGAGAGTGAACAGGAAGGTTTTGAGAGTGAACAGGAAGGTTTTGAGAGAACAGGAAGGTTTTGAGAGTGAACAGGAAGGTTTAGAGAGCGAACAGGAAGGTTTAGAGAGCGAACACGAAGTATTTGAGAGTGAACAGAAAGTATTTGAGAGTGAACAGGGAGGTTTTGAGAGTGAACAGGAAGGTTTAGAGAGCGAACAGGAAGGTTTAGAGAGCGAACACGAAGTATTTGAGAGTGAACAGAAAGTATTTGAGAGTGAACAGGGAGGTTTTGAGAGTGAACAGGAAGGTTTAGAGAGCGAACAGGAAGGTTTAGAGAGCGAACACGAAGTATTTGAGAGTGAACAGAAAGTATTTGAGAGTGAACAGGGAGGTTTTGAGAGTGAACAGAAAGTATTTGAGAGTGAACAGGGAGGTTTAGAGAGCGAACAGGAAGGTTTAGAGAGCGAACACGAAGTATTTGAGAGTGAACAGAAAGTATTTGAGAGTGAACAGGGAGGTTTTGAGAGTGAACAGGAAGGTTTTGAGAGTGAACAGGAAGGTTTTGAGAGTGAACAGGAAGGTTTAGAGAGCGAACACGAAGGTTTTGAGAGTGAACAGGAAGGTTTTGAGAGTGAACGCGAAGGTTTTGAGAGTGAACAGGAAGGTTTAGAGAGCGAACACGAAGGTTTTGAGAGTGAACAGGAAGGTTTTGAGAGTGAACAGGAAGGTTTTGAGAGTGAACAGGAAGGTTTTGAGAGTGAACAGGAAGGTTTTGAGAGTGAACAGGAAGTATTTGAGAGTGAACAGGAAGGTTTAGAGAGCGAACACGAAGGTTTTGAGAGTGAACAGGAAGGTTTAGAGAGCGAACACGAAGGTTTTGAGAGTGAACAGGAAGGTTTTGAGAGAACAGGAAGGTTTTGCGAGTGAACAGGAAGGTCTTGCGAGTGAACAGGAAGGTTTTGAGAGAACAGGAAGGTTTTGCGAGTGAACAGGAAGGTTTTGCGAGTGAACAGGAAGGTTTTGCGAGTGAACACGAGTAACCTTTGAAGCTGTTAAAGTCCATTTAACTAATTACCTGAATAATTTAATCTAATTTGGTACAGATATTTAGGGTTTGTTATAGCCACAGTAACACACACACAGTATCTACAATTTGCAGCTGGTCAAGCACTTTAAGGCATTGCATATTAAGTATTTTTCAGATCTAATATTTGATGTACACTGCTTTGCCGTTCTACATTTATCAGATACACTAATACATTTAACAAACCTGTCGAATGCATTTGGACCTACAGACAAAATCTGTGTGTGTGTGTGTGTGTGTGTGTGGTTATTGTATAAGTCACAGAGGAATACTGATAAGACTTTTGGAGCCAGACTATACACTATGCAGCAGACAAACTGATGACTGAGCAGATACTGAGGGGGACTGGTTATCTCTCTCTCTCTCTCTTTTCTTCCCCCCCCCCCTCACTTTTAGTTCTTTTCAAACCATTCACCCTTTAGAAATCTTTTAAAACATGAAGAGAGAAGTGGGGCAAGCTGTCACACTTTTTACAGGTTATTAAACATAACTCTCTGTTTTTTTGTTTTGTTTGTTTGTTTTTCATCATCAGAACGGTACGAAACTTAGTAAAGGTTTTGGCACTTGCTATGTGAACAAAAAAATAAATAAAATTAAAATCATGGACATGATTCACGGTCAAAAATGAGCGCATTGGAAATTAAAGGGAGATGAATTTCATCAAGTGAAAACTTTTGGTTCTAATTTTTTAAGATATCAGGCTCAAATTTTTAACACAACTATAGCAATTTATAGCTTTGATTTTCTCACATTTTTTCACAACAATAATGAAACATAACTGAACTTACTTAAAGTAGTAATAATTTACTCACCCCAACGTCATCCAAGATGTCCATGTCTTTCTTTCTTCAGTCGAAAAGAAATTAAGGTTCTTGATGAAAACATTCCAGGATTTTCTCCATATAATGGACTTCAATGGGAACCAAACGGTTCAAGGTCCAAAAAACAGTTTCAGTGCAGCTGAAAGCGAAACGATCGCTAATTAAAACAAAAAAAAGTTTAAGTTTTATAAGCTGAAATGGTCACCTTGCTCTGTTAGGGTTAGGGTGTGATGCGCGTTTGTGACTCTCCTATTCGAACTCGTTCATCAAAATGAAAAATAGAATATTTTGCAAAAGTTCATTTGTTTCAGTAAGATTTTAAGATATCAGGCTCAAATTTTTAACACAACTTAACAACTTTTCGATTTATAGCTTTGATTTTCTCACAATTTTTCACAACAATAATGAAACATAACTGAACTTACTTAAAGGAGTAAAAAATTGTTGCTGATAATTTACTCACCCCAACGTCATCCAAGATGTCCATGTCTTTCTTTCTTCAGTCGAAAAGAAATTAAGGTTTTTGATGAAAACATTCCAGGATTTTCTCCACATTATGGACTTCAATGGGAACCAAACGGTTCAAGGTCCAAAAGACAGTTTCAGTGCAGCTTCAAAGGGCTTTAAACGACATTAGACGATGAATAAGGGTCTTATCAAGCGAAACGATCGCTAATTAAAAAAAAAAAAAGTTTAAGTTTTATAAGCTGAAATGGTCACCTTGCTCTGTTAGGGTTAGGGTGTGATGCGCGTTTGTGACTCTCCTATTCGAACTCGTTCATCAAAATGAAAAATTAGAATATTTTGCAAAAGTTCATTTGTTTTAATAATTCACATTAGCACCTTTTAGTTTCACCTAAAGATTAAAGCATTACCAACTCTTTAGTACCACGTTCGGAAAAGAACCATCATGACTCATGAAAAAATATATAAATTGAAAGAAATAAAAAAGCTAGTTTGAGACCAAAAACAGCATGTAACTGTTAAAAAAACGGACTACACGCTTGTTTATAAGAAAGTTTGGGAATTATTAACTTAATTAATATGTGCCCAGCCAGCGCTGTCACATCACGACACGTGACAAAAGAACGAAAGACGAATCCCGAAGACTCGAGAACTAATCATTTCTCTTTCCGGTACAGAACATGTTAGGATGATGCGCATGTGCAAATAAATCACTCTTTGAGACATAGTCATATGCAAGATTCGTTTTAAAATGAACAACCCATCACTAAAGCTATTGTTTCATTATTACCAGGAACATACTGATGTGCACAGATAAATAATGTATAAACACTGCAATGTTGCATTTTGATTTAGAAAAAACCAGGCTAATAACACACACTTATTCAATGTAAACTCTCTGAAGTGGGAGAGAACAGATAAAAGTGCAGAAAGAGGAGGAGGTGAGAGAGAGAATAAGGGTGAAAGAGGAAAAGAGTGGTGTAATGACGGCTTTGTTTATAACCGAGACCAAGTGGACCATCACAGAAGGAGTCGAGCAGAGGCTGGAGGAGTGATAGAAAGACTGATTAGAGGAGAGAAAACAGTGAAAATGAGGACAAAGAGTCGTAGTTACATTCCTGGACTGAACTTATACAGAAATGTGGGAACCTGTGCTGAAAACATATCTCACTGTACGCATAACTTCAATATCTGTTCAGCTGATGACAGGACAATCTGTCGGGCAATAAAAGCAGTGATGAACCTAAGCTATCGGCGCCGCCATCTTAATAACGGGCTACACTTGGGCATCGAGAGAAAAGATGAGTAAGAAACAACAAGCAAAGGCAACGTGACTGAGAGAGGCTGACGAGATTACACATGTACAATACTGTACAACACTACACTTCGAAACTATGGAAGGAATCATAAAAATGTCTGGTTTAGTTGCATGCATAATTTACAGTTATTAACTACATGTAGCGTGTAACGAGGACATTGAACCAAAGCTTTTATATTTCACGGCTTCTGAAGCTCAAATTCTGTCTGAAAATTCGTCCGACTTTAATAGGAACTCCAAACGCCTTCTGCCAAACTAAGGCCTAATAATGTGAACTAAACTGTTTCTGTGTTTCTAGAAGCTTAGAACTTGAAAAATAAGTGTTTCACATGTTTATGTGCATATGTGTGTGTGTTTCTAAAAAAAAATGGGAAGAAAGATAAATAAATTCATTTAAATTGAATATATGGCAGATGTTAGAGGCGAAGTGATGCACTCACACACACTCAGACACTCAATCACTGAGGGATGGGCAACGATTAATCGCATCCAAAATAAAAGTTTGTTTACATAATATATATGCGTGTATAATTAATTTGTATATATAAATACACACACATGCATGTATATATTTAAGAAATATGTGCATGTATATATTTTATATATATTTATTCACAATTAATATTATATATAAATATAAATATTTGATATATTAATAACAAAATTTTCTTAAACATATACATGCATGTGTGGGTATTTATATATACAAATTAATTATACACACCACACACACATATACTATGTAAGCACATACTTTTATTTTGGATGCGATTAATCGCGATTAATCGTTGCCCATCCCTTGTACACACACACTCACACACTCAATCACTGTCACACACTCACGTATACACAAACAGACACTCAATCATTGTCACACACACTCACGTGTACACACACTCAGACATACAATCACTGTTGCACACACGTACACACACACTCACGTGTACACACACACTCACGTCACGTGTACACACACTCAGTCACTGTCACACACTCACGTATACACAAACAGACACTCAATCACTGTCACACACACTCACGTGTACACACACTCAGACATACAATCACTGTCACACACACACCGAGTTCACTGTCACACACACACTACCACCCAGTTCGTGTTTGTGAAGCTGAATTCACACATAATCCCAAATTTCCTGCAGCATTCCAGCATGATCTCCATTCTAGTGTTTAATTTAAACTGACACAAACACACTGGTCTACACGAGTAACGTAACACACCGTACTCCCAATCCCACGAGACGCAGGCGTTTGCATTCCTCGCAGTGTGAGCGCTGATGATTAGACATCAAACTGAATTAAGCTCTCATACACACACACACACACTCCTGCTGCCGCATGCGCTCGATCTATAAGGAGAGGGCAGCAGTCACACACACACCTCGAAGGCCTGCGGTCTCGTGATCTGGTGTCTGCTGGTCTTTGTTCTCGTGTCTGTCCTCCACTGAGCGCCACTTCTCCAGCCTCCATCTGGGCTCGGGGGGTTGGGCTGCTTTCTCCAAGCTTTAATTGTGGAGGTGAGGCCGATCTTAAAGTGCTTCAGCTAATTGGCTGTAAATGAGTCCATCTGCTTTGAGTCTGCAGTTCTCAACGTCGTTTTATTCTTTATCTGCTCTTATTCCACTGGAGTCGATATGAAATCCAGATTTTCGCCCTTTATGCGTTTGTAATATCACAGAAATTATTTCTATTTTGAAGAAAGAACGTTCCTTCTCTGCTGACATCACTTCCTGTGCAACCCATTGTTGGATAACGTAAACCATACAGCCGATAAAGCTCGCATATTTTACTGTTAAATTATTGCAACTAATGATCAATATATTTTTGACAGCACTTATTAATTTGTTAATGTTAGTTACAGTTTTTTCCAATTGCTAACACACAATTTTGCAAACTAGTCTGGTTTTATCAAAATACTTAAAGGGGTCATGAACTGCATGGCTTTATGTTATTATATTGTTGTCTGAGGTCAACTTAAGACGTTCGCTTGGTTTTTGCATTCAAAAACATCAAAATGAATAAGTAATAGGCTATTTTGTACCCAAGTTGTGAGCCTTCCTGAAAAACGGTCGGTTTTTATGGGCGTGTCGCACTGAAGACTTGGAAGTAAACGCCCACTGCTGTGAGTGGATAACAGTTTTGCATATTATAATGAGTTTAACTCACCCGTCGGTGTATGTGGGGGAAAACGTCCAATGTTGTCAAATGGCAATCGGATTCGCCCATAAATGTTCAACCCAGAGTCCGTTTTTTGCACAATTCCTGTCAGATCCAATATAGACGGCACAGCACCGTTCTTTACTCTTAATCGGTCTGCAAATCCAGTCTTGTTTACAAAACAATCCTCAGTGAAATGAAGCGAACAGACGACGATGTTTTACCCTCATCAGCTGGAACGTCATTAAAAATAAAGTTTATCCATGAAGTCCTATTGGAATCCAGAGGAAGCTTATGCAGCGACTGTCTTCTTCCAGAACCAGGCGCTGCACAATATTCTGTATTGCTCGTTAGATCGATCCGGTTTGTCATCACGAGGTAGGCATGTAAGTTAGGCTACTTAGCTATGCGTGTAATGCGCGAATCGGTGGGCGGGGCTAAACCGGCCGTGTTGAAGTAGGCGTTGATCATCTTCTGTGGGGGTGGTGTTTTCAGTTCTGAAACTTACAGGATATTCTTATAATATGATAACCTCTTAGATATCAAAAGCTCAAGGAAAATTTGATTTCTCAGTTCATCACCCCCCCACAATTCACATAACCACACACCCAAACTGCAAAATACCTCATATATCCTGCAAAATGAAGCACTGCAACCGAAACTATACATAGCATTATCAAAATCAAACTTTTGCATGAACTGGCACACACTTCATTCATATTACCAGAATTTAGCCTAAACAACTACATACTGTTGGGCATAATGACAAGCACTCATATCTTTAGTATGCTTTTCCATAATACTAAAATATGTATCAGATTGTTCACATGCACAGAAATATTTGCAGACACACACATGCTGTTGAAACTTCATTTTACAGTAATGTATTTTTTCACTACAGTAAACAAGTCAGTGTGACGTATGCGCAGCAGAAATATTTACATGGGACTGAAAAAAATTACTTACAAATAACAGTAAACTGAAAAAGAAACTTCCAGAAAATATATTACAGTAAAAAAAAAAAAAGTGGCAAGAAAAATAATTTTGTATAGTTTTTATAGTGCTTACATCCTGATTGAAGTGTTACTGTAATAGAATACAATTCTTCATTGTTTGTTCATGTTATTCAGTGACGACAAGCCATATTAGAAAATAACGCACATACAGGTCGATTATTCCGCTTATACTGCGGTGAACACCTTAAAAGATTGTTCAGATATTGTATTTCAAGACATTTGTCAGGTTTTTGTTCTTAAAACGCTCTTGTGTGTTTAGGACTTCATACGGATCTCATCCTACGCTTTTGGTGCTAATGCATCATTTTAGAGCCAGTGATAGCAGACTAATGTAGTTATTAATGCAGTTATTAGAGAGAGAGAGAGAGGTTAAGTGTGTGTGAATTACCTGACTCTGCGTTTCTCAACAGTGTGTGTTCGGCAACAGCGTCTCCGTTTTTAGTAATATCTAAACTGTAAGTTTATCTGCTTCAAGAACAGAGCGTTATTACATCGCTAGTGAGAAATGTCTT